AAAAAAAAAAAAAAAAAAAAAAAAAAGCCACCCCCACTTTTTTACGTATCAGGGATCGAACTCAGACCTTGCACTTGGGAGGTAGACGTGGTGCCACTGAGCTGAGTCCTTGGCCCAGAAGAGCCCTTTTTATGACAAGGACAGTGAATGAAGAAGAAGAGCAATAATGACAAAAAACAATCAGAAGAGATCGCTTCAACAGGGTAGAAGTTGACAAGTGTCAGGTAAGGAGGCAGGGAAAGGAAAAAGGCTTTTCACTCCAGAACCCGGGTTTCTGGGAAGATTGTCCTAAGCATCAAATTCAGATCTCAAATTTTCCCCTTCTCCAAGAATCACTGGGCAATCCAGCCCCCTTCTGTTGTGCCTTACACATCACATTTCCCAGTCCCAGTCTTTCAGTGGCTCTTGAAATTGATACCAGCTTGATCTGAAGCCACCAATTTTACTGCAGTCAAGAATGCTACCCTCAGGCCAGGGATTTAGCTCAGTGGCACCTACCTGCCTCCCAAGCGCACAAGGTCCTGAGTTTGATCCCCAGTACCAAAAAAAAAGAATGCTACCCTCCCAGCTTTTACTATTGCCCTATAGCTGCCACCAATAAAAATCTTTTTTTTAGAAATGTTAAAAAAAATTAAAAGTGAGAGTGTAAGTAGGAGCAAAGAAGACTAAGAACTATGCACATTTTTTGGGTTTTCCTAAAACTGCTCAGGATGATAGTAAGAGTTGACTCAAAGAGAAGTATTTAATAGGTGTTGCAGTCCTCGATGTAAGGACTTACACCACTTGGTGTAAATTTCAAAGATGAGTTTTTGCAAGAAGGTAGAAGCACAGTGGTCTGAAAGTAGCAGTGTGTAGCAAAGAGAGGGTTTTTACAGGAATGGGAAAGTATAATCTCTAGGTTGAAGAGGAGAAAATCCATTAGAAAAAGCCGGAGGGTAGAGCTCAGGGTAGGGCTTGCTTATAGGAGTCACTGGGTTCAACCCCGAGCACCCAAGAAATAAGAAAAAAAAAAAGTCAGCCTTGGGGGCCCACACCTGTAATCCTAGCACTCTGGGAGCCTGAGGGAGAATCAAAATTCCAACCCAGTCCAGGCATCTTAGTGAGACCCTGTATTAAAATTGCTGGGCAAGGTGGCACAGGCCTGTAATCCCAGCACTTGGCAGGCTGAGGCAGGAGGATTCCTGCAAGTTTGGGGCCAGCCTGGACTTCATAGTGAGACCCTGTCTCACATAAAAGGGGCTGGGGATGCACCTCTGTGTGAAGGCTTTAGATTCAATCCCTGGTACCACAACAACAAAAAAAGTCAAGTATGTCTTCTACCTCTGACCATTTTTTCCTTCTATACCCCACTGGAACTGTTCTTTTATTCACTTTAGGCTCATTTTATTCAGAGAGCATTTATTAGCCTTTCCTAGAAGAGTGGTCATCAGGATAGAGGTAGCTGTGAGGTGTTTAATGTAATGTATCCTTTATTTGCCCACAAAAGAGAGGTAGACACAGGGACTTTGGCGGGGGTGTGTGGGTAGCTGTGTGTGTGGAATTGAACCCAAGGCCTTTGAGCTGAGATATATCTCCAGCCCTTTTTTATTTTTATATTTTGAGATAAAGTCTCACAAGTTGTTAATTGCCCAGGCTGGGCTCAAAACTTGTGATCATCCCTCAGCTTCCCAGAGTGCTGGGATTGCAGGCATGTGCCACCATGCCCGGCTTCAGTTGTGCTACTGCTCATAGTAGAATGATAATGATTTTTTTTTAAAAGTAGGATAATATCCTTTCATATCCATATTCTGAAGCAGTTTGACACCTAGCAGTTTTGGCATGGTGGTGGTAATTCCTTTCCGTGAGCCACTAACCCAGAACATTTAGAGGATGAGAGAAAAGAGACTGTGCTCAGAGGCACCTCTGTAGTCAGAGTGTGTGCAGTTGCTCATCACAGCCTATGGGTAAGATAATGCCTTCTGAGCTCAGAATAGGAAGCTGAAGGAAAGGCTGGGATTTGTCTTCATTAGGTTTTCTAAAGTAACCTGCTGCCGGACATGGTGGTGCGCTCCTGTAATCCCAACACTTAGGGGCCAGAGGCAGGAGGATCGCTGTGAGTTTCAGGCCAGCCTGGGGTACATAGTGAGTTCAAGGCCAGGCTGGGCTACACAGTGAGATCCTGTCTCAACAAACCAAAAAAAGATAATAGTAATAATGATAATGATAATAATAATCAGAAAAAAAAAATCAGCTTCCTGTCCAGGACTGGTAGGACTCAGTCCTTTTCCCTGAGATCCGACCTTAACAACCAGTCTTTCCAAATTCCAAGCCTTGAGACAGTTGCCTCACCACCTGTCCCTTAGTTCATCCATTTGGAGGGATGCTTGGGGAACCCTGGAGGTCCACTCATCATGAAGCCTTGAGATCACAGCATCAGAAGAACTGAGCAGATTTCCTGAGTTGGAACAGAGGAAATAGGAGCTCCACCTAAGGAATGACTGCGTACAGATGGACACTCATGTCCATTGCTCAGAAAAATGTTTCCAGCTGTTTAGGATTTTTTGGTAAGCCATAGCTAGGCAGCTACTCTTCCTTAGTTTAAACTCTGCAACATTTGTATAGTTAAAATGAAACAAAACCTTGAGGCAGGAGGACCAAAATAAATTCAAGGACAGCCTGGCCAACTTAGCAAGACCCTGTCTCAGAGTGAAAGAGAGAGGCTGGGTGTGGAGCCCTTGTCTAGCAGACAGGAAGCCCTGGGTTCAAGCTGGGAGGAGGAAAAGGAGGAGAAAACTTCTCACCAGAGGTTTAGCTCAGTGGCACTGCACCTGCCTCACAAGCACAGGGTCTGAAGTTTGATCCCTGGTACCAAAAGAAAATTTGTCTCTTGCCTAATGTTCTTTTCCCACCCTATTTGCTTCAACTAAAAAATTGGGGAATCTCCACTGAGTTTGAGAAT